TGTTCTTTTAAATCAACAAATTTCACACGAAACGAGGATCAGCTGAGACAAGCGGTATCAACAGTCGTCGGTAAACTGGTGATTGCTTTGCGCGATGTATCTTTTCGAGGCCTGGTCGGCAGACAACAAAGGCAGGTTAGAGTTGTCGAGGGAGAAAATGATTAGCAATCGACGGTCACTTGACCATCTGTACCGGATGAGTAGTGCCAAGTAAGTAGTAAGTAGTGAGTAGATTGGCAAACGGGACAGACGGACAAGCGAACCAACTGTCAGGAGTGGACCATTCTGGCGGCAATACAACAAATGAGTAGTGCCAAGTGAGTAGTGCGTAAAGAGGGCAAAAAAGACAACCACACTGACTCACTCTTCCATGGGCCGTATCAACTCGCGCACCGGCCACAGGTTGCAGTCACAGTGCCATGAGTTGTCCTCCAACTGAAGATGCTTCGACTCGGGCGACTTGAGCCAGTCGGCGATTAGTTGCCAGGGCAACTGAGCGAGTCGATTGTGCATGAGATTGAGCGATGTGAGTTGTCGCGTCTTGAGGAGACGTGCGACCGAGTTGGGCAGCGACTGAAGGTGGAGCCGGTTGAGCTCGAGGGTGTGCAATCGTGCCAGACGCGCCAACACGCCAAAGTCGACGTTGCGTACGTCGGAGAGTTTGAGCGTGAGCAACGAGTTCTCGAGGCCGGCCAGTGACTGATTGTCCAATCGGTAGGCGCCTTTCAGTTTGACCAAAGCCAGCGTTTGTAGAGCGTGTCCGCTGAATCGGGCAAAGTAGCCGGCCTCGATATGGTCAATCTCAGAGTCGTGAATCTTCAGCTTGACGACTGATCCGTCGCGAGGATGCTCGGCCTCGCCGGTCGTCAGGCGGGCCGTCAGGCGAGAGAGCATGACTTCCGACTCGAGCGGCAGTTTGGCCAGTTCCACGTCGGTCAAGAGGACGCCGACGCAGGCGACAAACTGGCCCGACGTGCGACACTCTTCTTTGCCGGCTCGTCTCGCCTCGGCCATGCCGACGGCGACGGCCAAGGCTACGCCGACGACGGCGAAGGCGAAGGCGACGCCGACGGCTGCCAGACGCAGAGCGGCGCTGGCGGTGGCTGCGACGCGGGCCGCCAGTCCGCGGCGGCGTGGCGCCGGCCGGACGAGGCGGGAAGGCGCGTGATTGGCGGACGAGAGGAACATGTCGAAGAGACGCGACGCGACGA